CTAGACTGAAGAACAAAACAACAGCAACTTGTCTGTTCCCCTTCCCCCAATTCCCCAGTGCTGTTCCCATCCCCCAACTCCCCAATTAAAAAAACAAAAACAAAAACCTTTAGGCTTATGGTTCTTGCTAAATTGGGGAAATTTTCAGTCAGTATTTCTTTGAGTTCTTTCTCAGGTTTGCCCTATTTGTCATCTTGTGGGACTCAGATGACATGTATAATAGGCCTTTTGTTATAATCCCACAGGACCCTGAGTATCTGTTAGTTTTTTTTTTCCTGTCTATTTCCTCTATTGTTCAAATTGGGTAATTTCTATTGTCCTGTCTTCAAGTTTAGCAATTATTTTTCTTCTACTGTTGAGCCCATTCATTGAGCTTTAAAATTTTGATTATTGTAATTTTTAATTCTCAAATTTCCTTTTTGGTTCTTTCATACATTTCAGTTTCTTGGCTTAGACTTTCTTTTTCTTTCCTGAGATTTTCTATATTTTTTCATTTGTTTTAAGCATGTCTATAATTGCTCATTGAAGCACTTTTATGATGACTGCTTTAAAATCTTTGTCAGATAATTCTAATATCTTTGTCAGTTTCATTCTGGCATCTACTAATTATCTTTTTCATTTGAGTTGAGATTTTCCTAATTCTTAGTATGACAAGTGATTTTTCATTGAACCAGGATATTTTTGATATTATCAGACACTGAATTTTATTTAAATCTTCTGTCTTAGCTGGCTCCTTCTGACACCACTGCAGAAGGAGGAAGATAAGGCCACTGCATTACTTGCCAGGTGGGGATAGAAATACAGGTTTCCCTCTCAACCTCTGATGACACCCAAGCGGGGGCAGAGTTCCTCATTATTGGTAGGCAAGGGATAGAATTCTGGCTCCCTACCAGGCCTCCAATACCCCCCTGTCTGGGAAGAGCAAAAATGTCTCATTACTGCTTCCCATGTGGTCTCTACTAGCTCCACCCCAGTGTGGAAAGGAGGGTGCTTCTTTACTGATGGGTGTGGGGAGAAGTCCAGGCTCCTCATCTGGTCTCCATTGACATCATGGTATAGGGGTGGGAGAGTGAGAGGCTCAAACTGCTAGGTGGAGATGAAAGTTCCTGTCACCCCAGAAACTGGAACAGTGTCATAAAAATTCTGAGCAAAAATAATTTTCAACCTAGAATTCTATATCCAGTCAGGCTATCAATTGAGCATGAGACTAGGCTAACGTCATTCTCAGGCATGAAAGGTCTCAAAATATTTTGCATATTTTGCATTCATTTCAAGAAGATATGGTAAGATGTACTCTATCAAACAAAGAAGAAAACCAAGAAAGAGGGAGGCATTAACTCAGGATGTACATCATCCTACTTAAGAAGGAGAAAAGAAAAATTTCAGGACAAAAGCAAATTATCTGAGAGGGTGAGGAAAATTATATTGAGAAGAATTTTATAGATCTGTTGGAGGTTGCAGGAAGACTTAGATGTTTATAGAAAATCAAACAAGTGAAGAAAGAGATATTATTAACTCCAGGAGGAAAAAAAAATGCAAGGAAGGAAATGTAGGTAAAATTAACAAGTGATTTCAAATACAGAGTAATATTGATGTCAGTGACTTTAGGATACAACTATAAAGAAAAGGAAAAAACACCTTCTCATCATAAAAATAGTCACTACCAAAGATTCTTCAGCACCTGAAGCTGGACACCTGACTGCAGGGCTTACAAGGAAGAAATAGGCTTATCCCTGAGATAACTTTTTATATCAAACTTATCTGCATGGCAAACATTTGTTTACCAAACATTTGCTCTTCTCATCTTCCTGTGAGAAGAACTGTCTTCCTCCCCTTTGAAGTCCCAGACCCCTACCCCCTGCTCTTTAGCTCAGGATGACATCTAACCTCAATGGCCTGACTGCTTTTTGGTCTCATGTCTTTGTGAGGCTCCCATAAGCATGTAATTAAATTAGTTTTTCTCCTGTTAATCTGTCTTATGTCAATTTAATAATTAACCAGCCAATGAACTTAGAAGAGAAGAAAGAAATTTTCCTCTGCAACAGTAGAAATAATCAACAAGCCGGACTTCATTAGAATTAAAAACTTTTGCTCTGTAAAAAATAATGTCAAGGGCCCACTGAGTGGGGTGTTGGTTAGGAGTTGGCTTGGGAGTGCCAGCTCTGAGCAGCAGGGCCCTGGTTCAAATCCCACATGAGGGCCAGTGACACTGCACCCTGTACAGCTAAGATGGTGAACAACAGCTAGACCTGGAGCTGGGCTGCTGTGCATCGTCGGCTACCACGTAGCCTGCAGTGGGGCTGGCCGGCAGCGGGCATCAGCTTTTGTGAGCCACCAATGGCCAGTAAGTGACTGACTTACTCGGGAAGAGCACAATGATAATACCAACAAGGGCCAGTGAAACAATGTCCTCCACAACTAGACTGAAGAACAAAAGGACAGCAACTTGTCTGTTCCCCTTCCCCAATTCCCCAATGCTGTTCCCCTCCCCCAATTCCCTAATAAAATCTTTAAAAATAATAATAATAATGTCAAGAGAACTAGAAGAAGAGTCATAGACTGGGAGAAAATATTTGCCAAAGAAACATCTGATAAATAACTGTTGTCCAAAATAAACAAAAAACTCCTAAAACTCAACAATAAGAAATCAAACTACCCCTTTAAAAAATGGGCCAAAGACCTTCACAGACATTTCACTAAAGAAATTATACATAAGCAGCATGCGATAAGTTGTGCCACATCATACATCATAAGGGAAATTGAAATAAAAAAAATAATGAGTTACCACTACAGATCTATGAAAATGGTCAAAACGCAGAACACCGACAACACCAAATGCTGGTCAGGACATAGAGCAACAGGAACTCTCAATCACTGTTGATTTGAATGCAAAATGGTACAACCACTTTGGAAGACAACTTCTTACAAAACTAAACATGTTCTTACCATACAATTCAGTAATCACACATTTTGGTATTTACCTAAAGGAGCTGAAAACTTATGCCCACACAAAAACCTGCACATGGTTGTTTATGGCAGCTAAATTCATAATTGCTCAAACTGGAAAGCAACCAAAATGTTCTTTAGTAGGTGAATAGATAAACTGTGGTCCATCTAGACAATGGGATATTATTCAGTGCTAAAAAGAAATGAGATTTCAAGCCATGAAAAGACATAGAGTAAACTTAAATGCATATTACTAAGTGAAAAGGCTACATACTGTATGATTCCAAGTATATGACATTCTGGAAAAGGCAAAATTATGGCGAGTATGAAAAGATCAGTGGTTTCCAGGGCTGTGGGGCTATGGGAGGGAATAAATAGGTGGAGCATAAAGGATTTTTAGTGCAGTGAAAATGTATGTCATTATCTTTTGTTCAAACCCAGAAAGTGCACAACACTTAGAGTGAACAAGAAGATAAACTAAGGACTTTGGGTAATTACAATGTGTTAATGGGGGCTTATTAATTGTAACAACTGTACTATTCCAGTGAGTGATGTTGATAATGGCAGAGGCTATGCATATGTGGAGGCAAGAGTACATGGGAAATCTCTGTACCTCCCTTTCAGTTTTGTTATAAACCTAAAACTGAGGTAAAAAATAAAGTCTTAAAAGACAATGAGAAGAAAAATGAAAAAAGAAAAAAACAGGTTAAGGAGATTAGCAGTTTTCATGTATTCAAAAAGGTCTTCAAGGTGTAACATTTGAGAAGATTTGAATAAAGCAAGGAAGGATACTTGATAAAAGTAGGAACAAGCTTTCTGTGTTGGAGGCGTACTAAGAAGGCCAGTATATTTAGAGTGGAGTACAGAATTGGGTACAGAGAAGTCAGTAAGTTCAGAGATAGGCAAGGGACCAATCCTGTAGTGTTTTGGCCATAGTAACAAATTTGGATTTTGTTCTGATGTTTATCCACTGAAAAAATTTGAGTAGTAGAGTAGTATGGTTTAAAATGGTTGGGGTGGAGAATTGATTATTGTAGTAAGTGTGGAATTGCTGTCACAGTAACTAGAAATGATGCTTACTTAGGTGGGCTGGTAGTGATAAAAGTGGTGAGAAATGGTTGTATGTGGAATTTTTTTAAGGTTGAATTTCAAAATAATAGAATTTTACCATTCAACCAGATGTATTGTGCTGAGTGAGTAAGAGAGAGGTGTGAAGCATGACTCCTAGTTGGCTTGAGCAAATAGTAAATGTAGATGCTCTTTACAGAAATGGAGAAGCGTTAGGAAGAATGTTTGCGGTTGTAGGAGGGAAGAAGAGGAGGTAGGAGAAAGCTAGGAGAAAGCATGAGGTCCTCGGAGCTGTTAAGAAAGTGTTCCCAAAAGAAGGATGTGATCAACGGTGTCAAATTGCTCAGAGGTCAGGTGAGATGAGGACTGAGAACTGACCATTGAATTTAGTAGAATGAAGGTCATAGATGACCTTGAAAGAACTGGAATGATGAATACAGAAGCCTCTGTGGAATGTGTGGAAGAGAAAAAGTGAAGTGAGAAGGGTGTGTGGGGGGGAGAGCAATAACTATAGACATGTTTTTAAAGGAATTTGCAATAGAGACAATAGGCAAATATTGTGGTAGATGGAGGGTCTAGAAAGAGCTTTGTAAAAATTGAAGATATTACAGCAGATTTATGCTGATTGGACTGATCCTATAGAGAAGCAGAAATTGAAGATGCAAGAGGAGAAAGGGGCATAGTTTCAGAAGCAAAATCCTTGAGTAGGCAATATGGTATGGAATTCAGTGTGAAAGTAAAAAAGCAAGGAGTCTTCCCTTATAGTAATGGGAGAGAGGCCAGAGAATGGGCTACAGTTGCATGGTGGTGGTTAAGATGAGATTATTCTTTTCTGATTTCTTTGAACTCCTCAGTGACATTTTTGAGGCCACCAGTCGGGTGGGCCCAATTTTTTATTATTGAGCCAGCCTTGCAATCCTGTTTAAACATGATGTATTATTATTTTAACACAGTATTGACTTGTTTAGATGATATTGAGAATTTTTCTACAGAAATATCTTCACAGGGTTTTATATATTTTGTTTTGTGAACTTCACAGGAAAAATTTAGAAACTGGTTATCCTTCCTATATTGAAGAACAATTTGAATAGTATAAGAATTATGTGTTCTTTAACTATATAAAAAGTTAGATATTAAAATTTGTTGTAGTCATTGACATTGGAGGTAATAGTGGCAGACTGTAGAGGCAGTTTCCTATAAACTTCTTCCGTTTTTTTTACAGCTATTTTTGATTGAACATTACCTAAGCTTTTTAAGTCAAATTTGGTAATTTATATTATATAATAATGTCAACTTCATTGACATTTTCATGTCAGAATTGAGTTTTACATAATCTTATTCTTTTTAAAATAAGTTAATCTATGATCTTATTCTTTTAAAAATAAGTTAATCTATGATTAACTTACCCTTCTTATTTCTGAAGTTTGTGCTGTTTTCTGTTTTCTTTTTCTTGATTAGAAATATAAGAAGTTTGTCTCTTATTACTTTAGTTTAAGAACCAGCCAGCTATTGAATCTGTTATAAATTAGCTTTTTTCCTGTTTTTTTTTATTCTAGATACTTTAATTGGGTGGTGGACAAACTTTGAATTTATGTAGACAATGCTTCATTATATTAATGTATTTCTGATCTGATAGAAGTTCAAGAAGATTTTACATTTCAAATGGTCATGAATTGCACTTTAATATTAAATGTCTACATTATACACAAGAGACTGGCAGGTCTTAAAAAAATTCTAAGAGTTTTACAAATAGACTGGTAAGACAGCAAGTAAAACATAGACAAAGTGATAATTTTTTTCTTTTTAAAATTTGGAATAGACATTGTAATCAGAAAATATGATAATTAGATATTTCAACAAAGCAATCTGAAAAATTTAAATTTGGGGGTATTTAATTCCTTACAATTGCATGTCTACTGTTCTTCCCTAAAATAGTTATTAAGAAGTGGTGAGCAACTAGCGGTTCGATGCCTGGCCCGAGCTGAGCTGCTGCTGAGCTGCCAACAGGTGGCAGGATGGCTCAGCTAAAAATAAAAAAAATGGTGGGGGACCTACAGAGGAAGAGAATTGAACACTGATTTAAAAAAAAGGGCGTGTGTGTGGGGGGGTGGAGAACGGGGTATTGTGGGTTCCAGGGAAAAGAGGCCTAGAAACACATTTATTTCCCTAGCAATCAGAATGAACTATTTTGGAAATTTCAAGGATTTCCTCAGCCTCTGCAACTTTCTCACATTCGTTATATTTTCCTTCTTTCCCTAAAGTTACTAGAATATTAGCAAAAGTCCTGAAAATAATTTTTAAATTACATTTGTGATGTAGCATCCAGAGCAGGGGGAACAATGGAATTCTATCACTTGGCAGCTCGCTTGTGAATAAAGGTGCAGGGGGAAGGAAGAGGCAATAGCAGGTAAGAGAAGAGATCTAGTCCTGTCCCCAGAGAACAAAGCGAAAGTATTTCCTAGGAAAGTGGCCCAGGATGAAGCTTGCAGGAAGCCTCAATAAGAAGAGGGTCTTGGATGTTCCTATGCTGTGTTCGTAACCCTCAAATGCCAGACTCACAATCACCCAAAATGAGAAATGGCAATTAGAAACTGGGTGCTAGTGATTTTATTGGTATATTGAAGAGAGACTGCTTTGTTCCAATGTCACGGCTTTCTGAAGGACTGTTGTCTTCATATTCATTTTCTGAAACAAATGAACGAAAAAGGAAGTTGATAGAGAAGATATGACATGGCAGGTAATTTTTAATCCCTTGCTGGTCTTGCTGAAGTAAAACAGGTGAGGCCATCTTCTCTCCCTCTCTTTTCCTCCCTGGCTGCTTTTTCTGTACTGTTTGTGTCCACCTAACAGATAATGTGCTCTAAATTGTTTCTTGCAAGATGAATAAAAAGATTATTCTTAGGTTGTTCATTTTTGGTTCCTACTGGAAATGTTCAAAGGTATATTTATAAGGATGGTAACTGCAACATATTCTGTAATACTGAAAAACTGAAACCATTGTGAAAGTCCATTGGCAGGGGGTTGGCTAAAGAAATCATGGCACAGCCACATGATAGGATAGTGTACAATTGTGAAACAAAGCTTAAAAGAAGACCAACTAGTTCCGAAGATCAATATAGCTCTATGAACGAATATGAAAGTTTTCTAAGAAACGTGCTTTTTGAAATGATCAACATATGGATTTGCACATAAAGTATGATATTGTTTGTGGAAAAAAAGGATTAAATATGTTTATATAGGCATACATTTTTCTAAGAGGAGGTTCAAAAGAATTAACATTGATGGTTTTTAGGAAGGGAAGTGGGGAGATAGGATGAGATATGCCTTTAAGATTTAGCTTCATACCTGTCTGTTCTGTTAGATTTTTTTTTAAACTTCAATTTAAAAGTAAATATGTAAAACACTAGATAACATTTAGCAGCATAAAATTAAAGTATCATGTAGCAGGACTACTGGACCTGAGAGGCCTGGTGTGAGGCAGGACTGAGCAAAGAGTGGTCTGGTGGAAAGTTGAGATGGGAAGCTGTAGAACCTGACAAGGAGAAGAGGAGAGGAACAAAGGGAGAATACTGCTCTTTTTTTCTCATTACCAGCTGATTTTAAGATAGAAAACCATTGGGAAAAGGGCAACTTATGGGCAGCATTTCTCAAAATCAGACTTACCTTGAACAGCTTGTTAAAAATACAGGGCCTTGCTACTTTAGTCCAAAATATCTGAATACAAATCTTTAGAAATGTGGTCCAGGACTAGGCAATTTCAACATGTTTCTAGTTGATTCACTGGCACACTAAAGTTTGAGAACTGTAGGAGTTAGGGCCTTCAATGGAGAAGCAACTTGAATCATACCTGTCATTGAATTCCAGATTACTTGGCAGGTTGGCCTTGGGGAGGTTTCGGTGGTCTAACTCCTTGTGGGGGAAAATCGTGGTGATGGTCTCCTGATAGGGGAGGTCCTTGTCGGTTTCCAGGAGGAGATTGGGGAGGATGGAGGTGATGGTCTCCTGGTGTGGGTGGTCCTTATTGGTTTCCAGGAGGAGGTGGGGGAGGATGGTAGTGATGGTCTGCTGGTGGAGGTGGTCTCTGCCAAAGACCATCATCTTGGTTTTCATCATCAAAAGTGGGTCTAGGTGGGAATCCTTCAAAAGGTGGTCCCTCAGTCTCCTGATCTGGGCTCTCACTTGTGTTGTCTACATCTGAATGGGTATGGCACAAGAATAGGTGAGCTTGATGTTGAAAGACACCCCTTTCATTTTGATCTCTGATGACATTATCAGATAGTTCTTTTCTCCAAGAACCTGCCTCTCAACTACCAACCTCCCTCCTATCCACTGCTTCCTTATGCAATACTCCTTCCAATCCACATGCTAGTGATTGAAAGTCTTAGTTCTTTGCTCCTGAGACAAACATGTGCCTTTAAATTTCATTAAAAAAACTAGCTCTTGGATATCTTAGAATTCCCAGAGGTTGTTTCCAAGGACAGAAGAGATGCAAAGATATTATAAATGTCAGCTATGTTGCCAGTTATATTTTATGCTACTGAGATAACTTGCCAACTGTGACTTCAAGTCTGGCTGCTTGAGCCCCATATGGAAATTAGAGCTGGTTCCTCAGACTCTAAGACCAAGGTAGAGAAATACTGAGAGAGAAAAGAGAAAGACAAAGTGATGGCCCACACAGGATTAACTGAATAACTGTGGCAAATTTTTATCAGCTACCAGGACACAGTTGAGTGGAGAAATATTGAGAAAGGGGACCCAGACCTTTATTTTCTGCAGTTTTTCTTAAATTATATATTTATAAAGAGGAACATTGGGGAAGACGGAAGAGTTGAGGGCTTCTCAGGAGACTGGAGGAGTCAGAACGAGGACTAATTTCCTTTTTGGGTCATTTCTCAGCAGTCATGTCTTGCCCGAGAGTACAGGCAGCATATTCCTATTGTCACCCAAGCCAGAGACACACATCTCTATTATTCAAGTTGAGGCCCTGCTTATGTTCCCCAGAATCAAGGCTGGATAAATGGTTTGCCTATATCTTTAGTGTAGTCACATTAATCAATTCCTGACAAGAAAATGATGATAATAAGACGCTGGAGAAATGAACAGTTCATGAGGGAAAAAAAGGAAGGAAACGTGATGGACGATTAATAAGGATTTACCTGGTATCATGGTGGTATAGTCATCATAGATGAAATCTAGGAAAAGAAGCACAAGATGAAGTGAAAAGTTAAGTCTTGAATTTTTCAGGGCTCACAATTATTCTGCAGGAAAAGGAACACTCGCAATCACAACTTGTATACCCCCTAAGTTATCTTGTCAGCCACTGTTTGTGATATTGTTGGAAAGGAAGGAAGATGTAAGGGGGTGGCAGGGTTTGTTACTATGCTGAGTATCAATCACAAACTCAAAATAGAAAAGGCCCCTTTTGTCCTTCTTAATGCTGATTCAGGTTAAGTGTTGTGGTATTTCAATGTCATATTTTTTTACTCAATGTCATATTTTTTCTGCCCTATTTCTTTATTAAACACGTTACTTATATTAACATGCTTTCTCAAGAGGGGTGACCAGGAGTAAACATTTGGATACAATCTTCCACATATTGGTCACAGCACATTGAAATATTACATGTGGGTGGGAGAAAAATGAGAAAATCGGGCCCTGGAATCTCTATATTCCTATGTAGTGAGAGAGGAATTTTTTTATCCTATTCTCTACCTCTGAATTAGCTCTGATATGGGCTTATCCCTTCATCTATACTGTCTTCTCTAGCAAGGCTGCCTTCCTCCACTGTCTACTTTGATCACCGTCATGTCCTCGTGACTGAGCGTCCCTGTATCAGCCTTGCCATCCTCCAGTGAATCCTTCACAGCACAGTCAGAGAGACCTTTCTAAAAATGAGAAACTTACCTTGTCATGTCTCGTGTGGAAATTCTTTATTGGGTTCCAATTGTACTTTAAATAAAGTACAAGGCCTGGTATGACAGGCCTGTCCTTGTCTTAAGCTTTCTGCCACCTCATCTTCCCTCTCCTCTCCCTGCCCACCCTACCCACTTCCTCCCCTCACTGCAGTGTGATCTCCCAAGCCCCAAGCACTCACAGCACCTCCCCCGCCCCCCTTATTTTTTTATTTTTATTTTTTTTTTACCATGATTTGTGCTCTGAGCTGAGCTCAGGGCCAGCAAGGCCACTAAAAGCAAGACCAGCAGCATGTTGGAAGAAGCTCTGGAGTGACTCCGAACTCTGTTGGAGGAAACCTGGGAGTCTCCTTTATAAGGATGAGTAGAACAATGGCATCTTTAAATGCCATACTGGATGGATCTCATCCCCAGATAGGCTAGGTTATGGTTTGCTCACATCAAGTCTACTGTAGCCTCATTTCTGTTGGGGACTGAGGCCAACAGGATGGGGTGGGTAGGATGTTGTTAGTGTCTCATTTATTTCTAAAAGGTACATGTGACTTGGGTAAAGTTTTCAAAGGAACAGTGTCTATGCCATTGGTACAGATATTAGTTTCGTTCTGTCATCATTTGATTTTCAGTGTGTTTTTGGAGACTGTTTCTCTGTTCTTCTATTGTGGTGTGTGTGTGTGTGTGTGTGTGTGTGTGTGTGTGTGTGTGTGTGTGTGTGTGTGT